TATTTCAAGCACACTTATCATTAGTTTCACTTTCTGTAGATTTAACCATATCGTCATGGGTCAAAGGCCATGTCATTGCATTTGTTGTATCACATTCAAAATTATATTGAACTACTATTTCATGTATTTATGTCAATACGTTTGGTATCAAATTGTGGATTATTATTCAAATTTTAGTATTATACACAAGTTAATATCTTAATTTAAAAGTAAATATTAAAAAAACACCTAAATATCGATTTTTGTATGTCACGTGGTATATTGAATGCAGCACTGGTTCAGATTAGATGTTTGTGAGGTCCAAATACAAAGTCTATAGTTTCTTACAAATTTGGAAAACAAATTCCCAATTTTGACAAGCTGGAATATAAAATAAGAACCTCCTATCCTTTTTATATGTTGAGATATCACTACATTTACTGAATCAAACACAGTGGCCTCGCCCACCTCTTTCCATTTTTGGAAACATTTGCTTATGTACACCTACTTCTGTATATGACTTGTGAATAACCAATCGAAAGCTCAGAATGTCCACCCTAGTGGCTTTCACAGACTCTTTGAAGTATTTGAACAGCAAACTCTTTCTTTTCATGCTATATTCCAAGTGGTAAGGTAAGACATTAGTGAGCTCAAAAATTTCATATTTTTAGACCCAAATACAGCTTAGTTACTAAGCTTGATAAATTATAGTGGAATTCTTTGGTATTGATATAGTAATTAATGATTTTTCAGTTATATCAAAATGTATATATAAAATGTAAAAAAAAGAAGATTTTGTTTCATATCCTCTACATGAAAAATTTTATAAGGCTTAGCAACCTATGGCAAACAGTAAATGAGTACAAAGATCTTAACTAGAAGAAATAATTGTTTCCCTTACTTCTTTAGTTACTGTCCTATGTTTTAAGAAAAATAAGTTTAAGAACTTTGTGAATAACAATAATGTATATACATATATAATGCATCATAACTTAAATGTGACTATTTTACAAAATACTAGTCCACTAAAACAGAGCCAAGACAGGTCACCTTGTAAAGGCCATTTTTATATTCTAGGATATGGTAACATGAGTTCACATGTGCCACATCATTGTAACTTCTGTATTGTTAGCCAGGCACGGCTGGAAGGTCAATATATTAAAAATAATAAATGTATAATGTTATGAGATTTAAGCTATTTAGACTAAAC